TGTCCAGGATTAAAAACATGGCAAGAAATCATGAGTCAAAGAAACACATGACCAGATTTAAAACTGGTCCTGGGACTAGCTGATATACATGGAAGAACTGCTCTTTCATGAAGTTAAAAGAGGGAGGGTGGATGGGCAGATGTGGAGAGAAGTACTTGGAGGAGACAAGGGATGGAAGCTATGGTAGAGCTGGGAAAGACAATTAATTGATTAAAAATTTAATTTAATTTCCTTTAAAATACATAAAATATGAATTAAATGGGCCTGGAACCTTTACTGAGCATTATCAAAATAATAAAATAATGAATAAGCTATCTCCCAAAAAAATGTCATTATCAACAGCTATTAGAGAGATGATGGGGGTGTCCTTCTGCATTTGTGCTTCTCTTATTGGTTGATGAATAAAACACTGTTTGGCCAGTAAAGGCAGGAAGATAGGCAGGGCTAGGAAATGAGGAGAATTCTGTGAATAGAGGCAGGCAGGTGCTGGAAGAGATGCCATGTAGCCGCCAAAGGAGTAACAGTTATAGAGCCTTTTCTAGTAAGATAAGACCATGTGGAAATACTTAGATTTATAGAAATGGATTAATAATTAAGACAGTGGTAGCCAATAATAAGCCCTAGCCATTGGTCAACCATTCAATAGATAATATAAGTCTTTGTGTGTTTATTTGGCGTAAATCAGCTTCAGGACCAAGCTGGAACAAAACTTGTTAAAGGGAAATGAAAATACAAAATTTTTAAAGAATTCTTCCTACCCCAGTCAGAATAGCAAAAAATCAATGAAACACTGAATAGCAAATGTTAACAGTAGTACGTGGAGTCCCTGGAAATTGAGGTAGTGTAGGAGAAGTGCCTCCTTCAGACAGGCTGTTAAAGAAGAGGATGTCAGGAAGGATAGTGAACCTCACCTAGCTGTGTCCAAGTCCAAATCACTGCCAATAAGAAGTAATTGGTAACACAATGGTTTACATTCATTCAGTAGTATGCATAGTTTTCACTGTGATCACCTTTTCATTAACATGCCTCATGGCTAAAATGCCACACACAACAGAGCAACTGACTTAACTCATCCCTGGGCTTTTGGAAAGAGAACACATCTCTTGACAACTTTGCTCATTTTTGTTTTTTTTTTTTGTGGGAGTGGGTGATGAAATCATAGATGTTACTTCTTTTTTATATTTTTATTTAACTTTTTACACATGTTACTCTCAGTTCCCTCTCCCTCCCCTCTTCCCCCAGTCCCCCAATTCTCCCAACCCCCCACCCCACTCCATCCCACCCTCTGCTCTCCAAGAAGGGTAAATGATTCCATGAGGGATTTTCAGAGTCTGTCCTATCATCCCATGCAGGGCCTAGGTCCTCCCCCATGTGTCCAAGCTGAGAGAGCATCCCTCCATGTCGAATGGGCTCCCAGAGTCTATTTGTATACCAGGAATAAACACTGATCTACTCTCCAAGGTCCCACAGATTGCTGAGGCTTCTTATGTGACACCCAGATTGGGGGGGGGTGTCTGGATCAGTCCCATGATGGCCTTTCAGGCATCAGTCTGGGGTCCATGCATTCCCCCTTGTTTAGGTCAGCTGCCTCTGTGGGTTTTGCAAGCCTGGTCTTGACCCCTTTGCTCATCACTCCTCTTAGCAACTAGGTTCCAGGAGTTCAGTTGGGTTTATAGCTTTGTCTGCCTCTGCTTCTGCCAATGGTTGAGGATTCTAGGATGGCATATCAGGTAGTCATCAATCTCATTATCAGGGTAGGGCATTTAAGGTACTCTAAATGCCAGTTGGTGTCATTCTTGTATATCTGTGAAGATCTCACTAGTGCCAGATCTCTCCTCCAACTTATAATGGCTCCCTCTATTATGGTATCTCTCATCTTTCTCTCCTCTTTTCCTGCTCTCCCGTGTCCAACTCTCCCCTCCTCTTCTTCCCCTCTTTTTCTCTCATCTCCCTCTCCCCTCCCCTCACACATGCTCTCAATTCAATTAGGAAATCTCCTCCCATAACTCTTCTCCAGGTTACCATGCATATCTCTCTTAGGGTCCTCCCTGATTCCCAGATTCTCTGGCTGTGGGATTTTAGGCAAGCAATCACCTGTTCCATGTCTAAAATCCATATATAAGTCTGTACATACCATGCTTGTCTTTTTGTGACTGGGTTACCTCACTCAGTATGGTTTCTTCAAGTGCCATCCATTTGCCTGCAAATTTCAGGATTCCATTGTTTTTTCCCCCACTGAGTAGTACTCCATTGTGTAAATGCACCACATTTTCTCTATCCACTCTTCAGTTGAGGGCATCTAGCTTGCATCTAGGTTCTGGCTATTACAAATAATGCTGTTATGAACATAGTTGAACAGATGTTCTCATTGTATAAGTGTACATCTTTTGGGTATATGCCTAAGAGTGGAATTCTTGGATCTTGTGGTAGACTGATTCCCATTTTCCTGAGGAATCTCCATGCCGATCTCCACAGAGGCTGGACAAATTGGCATTCCAACAGCAGTGGAAGAGTGTTCTCCTTTCTCCACATCCTCTCCAGCAAAAATTGTCTTTAGTGGTCTTGATTTTAGCCATTTTGATGGCAGTGAGATAGTATCTCAGAGTTGTATTGATTTGCATTTCCCTGGTGGCTAAGGATGTTGAGCACTTTCTCAAGTGTCTCTCAGCCATTTTAGACTCCTCTATTGAGAATTCTCTATTTAGTTCTGTAGCCCATGTTTTAATTGGATCCTTTGGTGTTTTGGAGATTTGCTTCTTGAGTTCTTTGTAGATTTTGGAGATCAGTTCTCTGTCAGATGTGGGGTTGGTGAATATCTTTTCCCATTCTGTGAGCTATCGTTTTGTCTTGGGTCCTTTGCCTTGTAGAAGCTTCTCAGTTTCAGGATGTCCCTTTTATTAATTGTTGATCTCAGGATCTGTTCTACTGGTGTTATATTCAGGAAGCAGTGTACTGTGCCAATTCATTCAAGGGTATTTCTCTTCTAAGAGGATCAGTGTGCCTGGGTTGTTGTTGAGGTCTTTGCTACATTTGGACTTAAGTTTTGTGCATGGTGATAGACATGGATCTATCTGTTGTCTTTTATATGCCAGCATCCAGTTACTTCAGCACCATTCCTTGAAGATGACTTCTTTTTTCTATTGTGTAGTTTTAGCTTCTTTGTCAAAGATTAGGTGTTCAATGGTGTTTGGGTTTATATCAGGGTCTTCGATTAGATTTCATTGGTCAATTTATCTGTTTTTGGGCCAATACCAAGCTGTTTTCAGGACTATAGCTCTATATAGAGCTTGAAGTCAGGAATTGTGATGCCTCTGGAAGTTCCTTTATTATAAAGAGTCCTTTTGGCTATTCTTTGTCTTTTGTTTTTCCATATAAAGTTGAAGATTTAAGTCTCAATGTCTGTGGAAAATTGTGCTGGTATTTTGATAGGGATTGCATTGAATCTGCAGGTTGCTTTTGGTAAGATTGCCATTTTTGCTATGTTGATCTTACCTATCCAAGAGCATGAGAAATCTTTCCATTTTCTGGCATCTTCTTTTATATCTTTCTTTAAAGACTCAGAGTTCTTGCTATACGGGTCTTTCACCTGTTTGGTTAGAATTGTCCCAAGATATTTTATGTTGTTCAGGGCTATTGTAAAGGGTGATATTTCTCTGATTTCTTTCTCATCCCCTTTATTGTCTATGTATAGTATGACTATTGAAAAAAGAAAAAACATATGGTCATCTCACTAGATGCTGAAAAAGCCTTTCACAATATCAAACACTACTTCATGATAAAGGTCTTGGAGAGACCAGGGATAACAGGAACATACCTAAACATATTAAAAGCAATATACAGCCAACTGAGAGCCAATATCAAAATAAATGGAGAGAAACTCAAGGTGACTCCCCTAAAATCAGGAAAAAGACAATGATGTCCACTCTCTCCATATCTCTTCAATATTGTACTTGAAGTTCTTGCTAGAGCAATAAGACAACAAAAGGAGATGAATGTAATACAAATTGGAAAGGAAGAACTCAAACTTTCACTATTTGCAGATGATGTGATAGGCTTTGTAAGCGACTCAAAGAACTCTACCAGGGAACTCCTACAGCTGATAAACACTTTCATCAAAGTAGCAGGATACAAAATTAACTAAAAATACCATAGATGTTAATTCTAAGCAATTACATTTCATAATGCCACTATGGTCTCACAAAGAAGAAGTTGTGGATGGACCCAATGATCTTGGAATAGAGGCTATCATGACAATATGCTGATTCAGTGATTCATAGCGGATTTCAGAAGGTCAAATTACAGATTCAAACATGAAACTTGATTTCTTCATTGACATAAATTTGGTCATTTAGAAATCAGTTCAGTAGAACCATTATTTACATCTGAAAGAAACACAAACTGTTTAGACTGGGCCATCAATACAATATATCCATTCAGAAATACATCTCTGCAAGAGGGAATAATGTGTGACTCCTGGAATTCCCAGAAATCAAAACTACTGATAGTGTTTGTTTTATAGAGCATCATGTCTGCTACTGTGACTTCCTCTGGCCAGGCAGGGGCCTTTTCCTACCCCTTTCCCTTTCATCTACAGGGGCACCGTGTGGATTAACAAGTCTGTTTCATCATAAGTGGCTTTCTCATGAGTAGTTTCTCGGTTCACACTTGTGGTCATTTCCACTAAGAGGATTTTGTGCCATGGGACAGGTACTCTCCGGTATTGGATGAAATAATACTGCCTGTGGCTGGAGAAGATCCTAATAAATATTTTTCATCCATCTTGTTTGTTATTGTTAATGTAAGGCTTCAGATTCAAAGTCTACAGGGAGAAAGTGTAAGATAATTCCACAGGGGACTGAATAATATTGTCAGAAAGTGATAATTACAGTCACCAATAAAAGTATAAACTAGCATGCACACACATATGAGCTGTTCTTATCTATGTTGGACATTTGGAGTTCATGTTGTCAGCCTCATGGATGTCCAGATACTTTGCTAATATGCTGTTCTCTTGGATTTTTATCTTTTGCTTTCTGCAGATTCCTACATTTGTGTGCTCCTACACCAGCACCGAGTGCTTAGTCGGAATGAATTACCTTTTAAATGGGAAAGGAAATGTGGTGATTTCTGGTTTTTTTCCTGCTTATGCTATCTATCCACTCAACAAAACAATTGATTGGAGGATGACTAAATTTAACAGAGATTTTATGGTTGAGTATGTCTTTTTTTCCCATTTATTCATCATGCAAATTTGGTGTTCATATACTCTGGGGAACTATGTACTCAAACATCTTTATCCTCTCTATATCGCATTAAGTAATTTTCTCCCTTGCATTCTTAGATATCTTATGTGGTGCTGTCACTCATCTTGTGATTTCAAGGTGGGGATGAGGAATTGAGATTTATTCATTTTCTTTTCCACAGTAGACACTAGGAATTTATCCTGTATTGCGTGCAATGCCTTTAAATCCTCAGGATTTGGATGTTTTCAATATTTGCTCTGCTGGAGATGGATTCATAATGGAAAGTTGATAGAGATTAGTGGACTCTAGAAGTCTAGTTGTGCTCCTGAGAGAAGAGCTGGTGCCACTGAAGTTAGTGAAATGTGATTTCCTTGTGTGTGAGTGACAAGCATTGTTTGTGTTTGCTGCTGAAGATTTGAGAGCAGGAATGTCAGAACTAGACGCTGTGACAAACTCTACTTTAAAAATGCCTTCATCAATTTCAGATTCTTTCATCTGACTCCTAATATTTGTATAATCGTACACCTTACATGTTCACCTATTTAGTTCATGAAAATGCTATGTATGTTATTTAATTGTCATGAATGCCTTTCCATGTGCCCATTAATTGTGATGGGACCTCTGAGAAATGCTTCTAGTCATTATCAAAGATGGAAGATCAATGCATAATGTTAGACAGGTCTAATTGAGTGTCTTAGGTCCTGCTAAAGTGAAACAATAATGCATCTTATGGTTTAAAAGAAGTCAGGTGTGACTAATCGCTGGGAAACTAGCATAGGACCACTTCAGACGCCCTGAACATGGGTGGCAGTTAGGAAGCATGGGAAATCAACTGGGCCTCTGGTAGTGTATCAATATTTATCCCTAGTATACAAATGGACTTTGGGAGCCCATTACACATAGAGAGATACTCTCTCAGCCTAAACACACTGAGGAGGGTCTAGTCCCTGCTCAAGTGTTATGGTGGACTATGTAGATACCCCGTGGAAGGAGTCACCCTCCCTGGGGAGCAGAATAGGGATGGAATAGGAAGTCGGTGGGGGACAGGGGAGGAGGGGAGGAAGAGGGAACTGGGATTGACATGTCAAACAAGCTTGTTTCTAATTTAAATTAAAAGAAACAAGTCAGGAGTATTATATTCCAGACTGACATGACCATAGCTGTAGGCAACCACACAACCTGTGTGTGATAATGAGAATTGCAGCTTGCACTCCTTTTGAACTGAACAAGAGCAACATGGAAATATATATTCAGGAATTGGCTTGGCAGCAATGGGTGGAAAAACACCTAAAAGAAGCAGTGGACTGATGGATTATTGTTTGTATGGCATTACTTTGGCTGCTGAAATGCGGTTGTTAATTAAGTCATCAATTCAGCAGTGGAAGAGGGAAATATTCAAGTGTGAAATGGCATTGGACATGAGGATATTGAAATAAGTTTAATCTGAAATGGACATGATGAAGGCAGCTGGGGAGATATAAAAATTGGCATCTAAATAAAATATTCTGTGGAATAGTCTAATGGCTCTAGGGATCATTGCTTACTTCCAGTAAGGTTGCACAGATCTATGGTCTACCAGGCATTTGACCTTTGTGTGCTAGAAGGAGACTCTTCTGATTTACTGCAGATGGTGTCCCTATTCCTCCCTTTTCCTCCTCTTACTCTCTGCTCTCCCATCACAGAAGATCAGGCACCAATGTGCTTCAGCCCGAGTCCCTCTCCATATTACATAGCTGCAACGCCACACCTGCAAAGGAACTGTAATAATGTGAGCTAATGTGAACTCTCTGTGGCATGCTTGTATAATATGGAAAACAGGAGAGTGCTGTGTAAGTGAGGTTTAATACCTTATAAAGTCAGAAATGAAAATAAATTTACAATTATAAAAACTGTAAAAGTTATCATGCTTGATTCAGACAATATATTTGCAAGTTATACTTTTCATAGCGAGTAGGGCATGTGCAATCATATACTCTGCAAGACTCACGAAGCCTTTTATTGTGTTCATGAATAGTTTTACTTAGGGGTGAGAAACTATGTATGTACTTTGAAATGTGGATTGTCTTGTCTTTCTCCAGTTAAATTTAGTCATGTTCTAATTTATCTTAATTGCCATAACTGCAAAGGATCAGCAATTGTGGGCCTAGCATTATTTTCTACTACAATAGCTTTTGTGTGGTATAATGTTGTAATCTGATTTTAGTTTCTTGTTGTCAAAGGATGGTAAATAAATATTTTGTTCATCCAGAATAGTGCCTAGTACATACAAAATATGTCTACTATCTGATTAGGAATATTAATCTACATAAGCACACGTGTATGCACACTGTGGAAGCATTTGATGCATGGTGGTTATTTTCCATTCAAAATAATATAGACCGTCTTCTCTCACTGTGCATTGGATTGTTTTTCCTTCACACTAACTTAGAAATATGTCTGGTTTAGGATGTACAAGTTGCATTGTATCAGTTATATATTTCAATAACTTGAAATTATTTATTAGATGAATATGAAAAGTCAAAATTTAAGATTTTTTTCTTGTTTAATGTAAATCTTCACCATTTTCGGTATTCTTCAATTTGAAGGACATAGTAATATGGATATAGGTTGCTAGACAGTATTTAGGGATGTAAGGTTTATTTAAGATATTTATGTTATTTCAATCTGAGTATATAAAATAACCTGAACTTTTAATTGCACAAAGTCTATTGTCTTTTATTCGTGTTCATTTTTGACTGAATTACCAATCTAATACATTAGGGGCAAAGCATGTTAATTATACAGCAGCATTTTCCTTCCATAATAATTCAGAATCTCAATGATTGGATTTTCTCTGAAAATAAAAGATTAGGTGATTATCAAGTAGTACACTGAGTTACCTTCATCAGTTATCAAGTACAGTTAGGCAGAAGCAGAAGATCAGATGCTAAAGATCAAGGTTAGTACATTTTCAGACTTTCTCAGATCTGTATGGATTTTATGGACTGGGCCTTTGTTTTGGTTTTGGTAGGGGCTTATGTTCTGAGCTTTACAGACTAAAAAACACTTCCATCATGGAGCCAGTTGTGCTAAGGCCTAGCGGTCTATTAAGGTCTGAGGCTCTGTTCCACAGACTGGTCTTAATAAATTAAACCAGTCAAACCATGGAGTGATCCTATTTTAGATGAAGATGTAGGGCCCTGACATTAATACAGTTAGAATGAAAATTAAATGGCTGGTCAGCAGTCCATCAGTGGAGGACAGAAACTTGTAGGGGAAAATAAATAGCTTCTAGGAGAGCTAAGATATGTTAATATCATTTTCCCAGCAGTGAGGAGTCCTCTTTTTCTCTAATAAAAGCACACTGACCATCATCTGTGTATATGTTGGTGAACATTTCTTTCCCCTGTCTGACAACTTGGGTCAGATCAATCCATTCTGTTCTCTAGTCAGAGGTACCTGACTTGGGTCCAAATAATTTTGCTTCAGTTAAAGTAACTACTGCAGGTCCCATATACACGATTTCATCTTTTATTCTTGACTTTCATGGAAGAGCACCTGTTTCATGTGGTGAGAGCATAGCTAAATTGAGGGTGGTGTTTCTCAAACAAGACTCAAGGGTGTGGCAGGAGTAGGGCCTTTGACTGAGCCAACAGTCACTAGACGCCCTGTGTTCAGGTGATCCTCAGAGGAGTGCCTCAACTGTGTCATAAGGAATTTTGAGTATAAAATCAATGCTTGACTCAAAGTAAACTTGTTTGCTATGTTTCATTGAACTAGCAGTAGCCACCATAGCTCTTACATACATGGGCCATTCTATGATTGCAGGGTCCAATTATCATAGTATATTTTCATGACTCCAAAGTTTGTCTGCAAATTCTAGGACTTGAGTGGAAGGCAGAACTGTTTTTAAAGATTGGAATACTTCTTGCTTAATCTCAGTCCAGATTATGGTTTTGTTGTGCTTCTTTGTGCTGGTGTACAGAGGCCTTTCTATTTCCACAAACTCTGTTATCCAGAGACAACAATACCTAATGGCAGCTAAGAGCTCTTGGACATGTCTTTTAGTCTTTGGATCTGGTATCTGAAGGATAGCAGCGACCCTATTTTGAGACAGGCTCTTTTTCACTCTCCTTAGATGGTAGCTAAAATAGGTAACCTCTGTTGTACAAAGTTTGACTTTCTTATATGTTATTTGTAGTCCAACTTTTGGAATTCCAGCAACAGTGCCATAGTGGCCCCTTTACAGCCTATTTTCTCAGGAAACCAATGATGGAAGGGCAGGAAGTCAGCATTCAGTGTCTTGAAAGCCTGGGCCAAACTGTTCTAGGTATGTTGCCCACTGTAATCGCCCAGTGGGTCTGTTTAAATGCAAAAAATCAGGTTGATTGACCTCTGCCAGTGGGAAGTTGGAGAATGCATCAGGTCCAAGATTGTGTACACCTGTTTTTCTGGAAGAATCAGACTTATGAGAATCAGAGGTACCATATTTATTTGTTGGCAGGAGATTCCTATTCCAGGGTGTTGGTGGGGCACACGGAGACACAACTCTTCAAGCCAGGCAGTATGGACTGCAGTTTCCCTTTTTGCTTCTAGTGTCATTGGGTATTGTTTAATTACCAAAATTTCCAGTGTTAGTTTTCACAAAATTGAAGAATTTTAATTTTTCTGGAGAAAACAAAAGACCTAATACAGGTCATTAGCCGCAACAAAACTGTAGAACCTGTCATTATCCCAGATTTTAAGGGCATGGGCATGGCAAAATATTGAGTCATTGAGTAATGGAACAGAATTGAGAATATAAAACATGTAAACCCACACTCATAAGTCACCATATTTGTTAAAGAGGCCAATAATACTATTGGTTAAAATATGGAAATTTCAACAAAAGTGCCAGCCAAACTGAATAAGGAAATTTTATTTCAATATTTCCCTGACACATACTCAACTTTTATTTATCCATAATCTCAACATAAGAAGGTATTAGTGCTGCTCTTGTTTACCCTCTAGAACTTGCTGATAAGATTCCATACTTCAGTCAGTGAATGTAAAAACATCAAACTGGGGAGAAACAGGAAGCTTCAACCTTGCTGGCTCGATTTCAGAATGCAAAAAGTTGTTATGCACACTACTAGAAGAGAGAATTAATCACCAACCATATGTAGCTATGAATCTCTTGAACTACAATAAAAGTTATTGTAAGATAGCCCATCTGATGCAATGGTAACATGTCCACTGAGCTGGTTGGGCATAAACCTGGACAAATCTGAAAAGAATGATTCCATAGTTAAGGGATTATCTCCATCAGACTGGCCAATCGGCAAGACACCCCTTATTTTCTTATGTAATGCTTGATTTGTAAGATTTTAGTTTGTGTGGTTCCACTTCTGAAAAGAAAATATGTATTGTATTATAGAGCAGGTTGAAGATTTTATGAGAAGCAAGCCAGGAAGCTTAAGGTCATCATGGTCCTTGCTTTTGTTTATGACTCCAGGCTGTCAACATTATTTCCTGCCATGTTTTCACTTAACCCTTTCCTGCCCAGGTTGCACTTGTTCAGGGTTTTATCATTACAGCAGAAAAGAGAAAAAACACAGGAGCAGTCAACCATTCTGTTATTCGATTTAAGTCTTGCTTGATATGATGAAACCCAAACCTCCCACCAGAATTGATCGAGGAACTGAAAGCAACACAGAATATAGTCTCTAAGGGACTGATACTATTTTCCTGCTAAGTAGAGACAGTGTAAAACTGGACCCTAATAATTTATCATTATACCCCATTGATCTATCAACCCCTGTCTGAGAAGTTACTATTTGTAATAGATTGTGATTGACACAATGACTCACAGCATTTACAAATGCAGAGAGCAAGAGGTAACAGAATGCTCATCCTTGAAGGGCATAATCTTGCCAAATTTACACTGTACCCAGGATCACTGTGGGAAAAAATATCAGAAAATATTCAAGAGTAAAAGATGATGATCACTATATGGAAAAATCTCAACGTAACAAGGCAACTGTAAGTAGGAACTCACCGCAATTGTGACAGAATGGAGCACACCTATGCCATAATAGGCCAGAAGAATCTCAATGTGCAGAGTGATGTTGAACAAACAACTCCACACATTGCTGCCAGATGGATGACAATTTTTAGGTACTGGGAGATGATAAGAATATTTTCTCTAAGAGTATATAACTTCATAAACTGATCTCATTTCAGCAGATGGCCATGGACCCAAGAATACCTGAGCAGCATAAATCGGTTTGAAGGGCTCTTATTAAAGAAAGTTTAGTGTACAGAAAATGGATTGTGTCTCAAAAGTGTTAGTTTAGAGGAGTGTGTGATCAATAGAATTTGTCAAAATTGCAGATTATTTTTAAAAACTCTGGGACCAGGAATCTTATAGATATAAGGTAGAAGATACACTTGAGTCACTGTCACAGGAAATGACTTTCTGAGCTGCACTAGTATGATGTAGCCATTAAGGCAAACTATTGGGAGTCTTGTTTGGTGGTGCACACCTTTAATCTTATTTCTTTGGAGGTAGAGGCATGTTATTTTTTGTCAGATTGAAAACAAACAGATACTCCTACATAAAAAGTTTGGGGAAGCTATGACTAGAGAGTGAGCCACTGTTACCTTCTGAAAATAACTAAATAAATAAAAATAAGAAAAATAAATAAATAAAATAATAGGCACATAAATGAAACAAGTGAAGAAAGAAATAAAGGCTGGCAGTAAGGAAGGAAGGAAGGGAGAGAGGGAGGGGCAAGGGAAGAAAGAAGAAAACAGAAATTAAGAAACTGAACTTCCGTAAATTAATATTTCTGTGCACTAAATGAGACATGAAAATGCAGCATGCAGAAAGGAATAAATATTATCTGTTGTACAACCAACAGGGAGTTAGTGATTATAACACATAAAAAACTACAAATTTTTAAATGTAGAAATAATTGCAATGTGGCTCGATAAACAGATTTCCCTCAAAACATAAAGTACAAATGTTTGAGAAACAATGATTTAAATATCCAACATCCTCAGTCATCATGATAGCACAATCAAAAGCAAAATTTCCTCTTATCCCTGTCAAAATGTCCAGGTCCAAAAAACTCAGGGCAATACAAAACCATGGTTTTGGGGAAAGAGGGAAACATATTCACCACCAGTGGGGGCAAAAAACTGATGCAACAATGGAGTTTCTTCTTTGGTAACTGTTTTTTTTTTCAAATTTCATCACCTCATTTAAGCTACTAGGGGATCCATGTTAACTGTATGAGGTACTCTGACTAAATTCTTTGGTAAAGAAAGAGTTTGCAAAATGCTTCCTTTCTGCAGGATTTCTTTTACCACTGTGCTTTATAACTCAACCCAAAGAGCTTCATAGATTACTACAAAACTATTGTCACTTCTCATTGTGTTTCCTGTGAACTTCAATTCCACAAAAGTGAGCAGAATATGTTTAGACATGTCCCAATTTTGTGTTCATGTTTTTGATATGTTTCGAGTTGATTTTTACCATGTGATGAGAAAACATGAATGAAGGTCAACTGTATGTCTCTTACTTTCTTGCTGACCCACCAGCTCTCACAAGAAAGTGCTTTGTGCAATACATTTCTAAATGTAAGTGGATGGCACATTATATTTTAATTAGTTCTATTGATCTATGGGTAACATCATTTATGTCTTCTGAATATATTTGGTTGGAAACCCCTTTGGTCATATAGCAGAATAGCTTATCCTGATGTTTTCTTGCACTTTCTGCTTAGATTACCATTTTTATGATTTTTCTACAAGGGAGCCTTTACTTTATGGTGGGATGGATGTTTTTATTAGAAGGTGGTGTTTCTGAAGATATCCATATTTGTGCTAATGTAATACACAGGTGTGTGTCATCATGTAGAGGACAGCAGTCAACTTAAGTTGTAGTTCTTGTGGACCTGGCAACACTGTGTGTGCATGGTTTCTCATTTTCATGGAGTTTACTGAGATGGCTAAACAAACACATCAACAAGATTTAGGGATCCACCCTTACCCATGACTCCCAAACAGGAACTGAAGCTGTTCACTGCTGTACCCATATGAAGCACGAGTACTGGGGATCAAGCTTGAATGGCAAGAGCTTTCCTTAGTGAGCTCTCCCAAGCTCAGTGTTCATTTTTTTAGACAAAAAGATGGCACTCATTGACTATTTTATGTTCCTAACTCTCTTCCGTTTGTGTTTTTAGTTATCCCTCTCTGGTATTTCACACAGACATGCCGACCCCTCCATAATTATGCATTTCTTAACATCATACATATCTTACTACTCAGTTTTTGATGGTATAGAATGTAAACAAACAGTCAGGGTTCTTGGGAATCATTCTGTACACAAAGATGGCAGGCCTAATTTTTTCCATGAGGTTAAGATATTATTCATCTCCTTTTCCACAGATCCTACCAACATGAAGAAAATAGTATTACATTTTCATGAATCACTAAAAATATGTCAACATGGGAATGAACTTTGGCCCACAAAACAAAGAACAAATTACAAAATACAATCCCAATGAAGCAAAACATTGTGAATATTGTGTTTCTCATCTGACATGTCATAATATTTCACCATGTGTATAGAAATTTGGTTGTTACAATGTAGAAGTTATTTTCCTCCCACTGACTAACATTAAGAGAATAAGTAAATAGTTCAGAAGGAAACATTCTAAAAGTGCAAATGTAAGCATTGAACTTACATTTTCAAATTAAAAACTACTGAGCAGGGCATTGCAGGGTACTTGTGTAAACAGCTGCTCCTTTGTTGAAGTGAGGGACAGGGGCAAGATATTTCCCACCATCCCATTGGTTATAAGAAGACATACTATTAAACAAGGCGGAAAATGATGACCCACATCCAACAGATGGAGTGCCCATGCTGAGACAGGAACTGAACACAAGTCACCATCTTAACTCAGAAGCTCCATCCCTAAACCAGTGACAAAGACAAGAATTAGTTTTCACCAAGGGTGTCTTGTTACGTATGCAAAATATCTTTAAGTTCTCGCCCCATACTTGGTAATAGATGGGAAAAAATAAAACCTCAATGGTATTTTTAGTAATTCATATTTTTAAATATATATCTTCTGTGTTCATATACTTTCTAACATCCTGGGTTTTTTGGTTTTCTGTATATGAAAACATGTGTGTCTCTGACTCGCTATGTGTTCTTTTTTCTTTGACTTTCTCTTCTCTTTATTTTTTGTTTTGTCTGATTCTGACTTGTTTATTTTTATTTTGATTTATTATTATTATTGGATTCTTGCTTGTTTTTTGATGAAAGGAAAGAAAGGATGTGGATTTTTATTATTTTTAATCATAAAAAGAGAAACATTCCCATTCTAATTTGAGCAAATGTTGGGAAGATAACCAGACATGGATTTTTTTTGGAAAATGAAGCATTAAAACTATGGAATTCACTGTACTAAACTTGTACATTTGTCTTGTATTTTGTGGTGTGAGTCTTCCTCCTAAATATTATTCTACCTTCTATGCAGGTTTAAGTTGAGGAACTACCAAAGTATTTTGGCCATGATGTTTGCCATTAAGGAGATCAACAGCAATTCCTATCTTTTACCCAACACAACCCTGGGATTTATGGCTCAGAATGTCCCATCAGGTCAAAGATATACTTTGGACAGTCTTTTTGGAATACTTTCAGGCTCTGGTCATGCCCTCCCCAACTACAGATGTGCAAGAGATAGCATGTCAGCTGCTATACTTACAGGACCATCATGGTCAATATCTGAATATATAGGGACACTGCTGGATCTTTATAAATTTCCACAGGTGAGAAAGAGTGAACAGATAAGACACGATGTCAGCTCTGCTTTATGACATTTTTGGTGGCTTAGGGAAAACTGGGAAATTAAATCACTATTATTCAGTAGTTATATGATGCACACAATTGGTAATACATATGTATTTAAGCAGTATGGAAGAGGGAGAAAGGAGTTCAGTTCAGTTTTTATCTGTGGCTATCTGCCTCTGCTTCCATCAGTTGACGAATGAAGGTTCTGTGTCCTAGACTCTCTGGCAGTGGGATTGTATGCTGGCATTGGGAGAAATGATGAGCAAAGGAGTTAAGACTGTGCTGGTTTAACCCACAGAAACAGTTTACCTGAACAAGGGGGAGCTCTTGGACCCAGGATTGATGGCTGGGTGGACAACATGGGACTGACCCAGACCACTGAATGTGGGTGTCAGTGAGGAGGCCTAGGTAGCCTATGAGTAGTATTTATGCCTGTTGTACAAATGGACTTTGAGTGTCCATCCCACAATGAGAGATGCTGTCTCTGCCTGGACTCTTGTGGGAGGGCCTAGGCCCTGCCATGGGTGAAATGACAGACTCTGGAGATTCAAAATGGAGGGCCTCACTCTCCCTGGGGGTCAGAGTGGAGATTGGGTGGGGCACTGGGGGGTTTTGTGGGGAGTGCAAGGGAGAGAGAGCTGGGATTGACAGGTGAAACAAGCTTGTTTCTAACTTAAATAAAAAAGGAAGTGGAAAAACAGGGAGAAAGAAAGGGTGGAATATAGAAAGCATAGCATTGAACTTCTGATATATTCTGTACTTCACTGGAAACCCATAGGAAGGCAGGTTTGTCCGTCAAAGCACCATTGTCCTACAGACTTCAAATCATTGCTGGAGAATTGAGCTGAATTTTATAACAATTTTCTTGGGTCTGATTTTTTTCTGCAGCTTACTTTTGGGCCTTTTGATACTACCCTGAGTGAACAAAGACAGTTTTCTTCCCTGTATCAGGTGGCTCCCAAGGACACATCTCTGATACTTGGGATTGCATCTTTGATGCTTCATTTCCACTGGATCTGGGTTGGACTTTTTATTATAGATGATCACAAAGGTGCCCAGATTTTGTCAGACTTGAGAAGTGAAATGGAGAATAATGGAGTCTGCATAGCATTTGTGGAAATGATCCTAGTCAACAGGGGTTCATTTCTCACCACATCCTGGAAAAATCATGTTCAGGTCCTTGAATCATCAGCAAATGTGATTATTATTTATGGTGACACTGATTCTCTACTAAGCTTAATTGTAAATATTAAGCAGAATTTACTCACATGGAAAGTCTGGGTCATGAACTCACACTGGGATGCTTCTAAATTTGATAACTATTTGCTCTTAGATTCATTGCATGGTGCCCTTATTTTTTCACATCATAATGAGGAGGTCATTAATTTTACAGATTTTATTAAGACGGTCAATCCTTTCAAATACCCCAAAGATACTTATCTTCATGTATTGTGGCATTCATTCTTCAACTGCTCATTTTTTAGGAAAGGTTGTAAAATTGTGGATAACTGTCTGCCTAATGCCTCCTTGGAGTTCTTGCCAGGGAAGATATTTGATATGGCTATGAGTGAAGAAAGTTACAATGTGTACACTGCTGTGTATGCTGTGGCCCACAGTCTACATGAGATGATGCTCAATCAAGTACAATTTCAAACGTGTGAAAAAGGGAAAGAGATGGTTTTCCTTCCCTGGCAAGTAAGGCCACGTCTGTAATACTATACCAGCAGCAACATGATACTTTAAGGCTTTATAAACAAATTGAAACTAGAATATACTTATTTTAGATTATTTTTTGGCAAAATCTATATGAGAGACTTTGTTTTAAGTCAATATGTAGTTGTATTACCTAGGGGTCTAAAATATTTTCAGGGTAAAAATTTCAATATTAAAAGTTGATTTAACCAACAGATTTCACTCAACAGAAAATCAGAGTCAGAGAATTCTCTGGATGAACATTAAGACTTTGAAAAGGCTTATGCTTACTTAATTATCATTCATTAAATCACATATTTTACGTAGTAAAACTCTAAACAATTTAAAGACTTATTTGGGTATTACTTTATTTTCAAAAATGTGTGAATTTTCTCTGTACACATTCATTTTTGGGGAGTGCATGGTTCTACATTTTTAAAATGAATATTTTTGGAATATTTTAGAAGGATAATTACAGTTCTAATCACTTGATTGATACCAATATTAAAGGAATTTCTCTCATCAGGGACTAACATTAATAAGAAATGTTCCCTGATTCTGCCCTTACTTCATTTCTCTGGAGTTTATATAGCATAACAGCATGCATCTCTTTCAGCTTCACCCTTTTCTAAAGAACACACAAATCTTCAATCATGTTGGAGACCAGGTGGTTCTGAATTGGAAATTGAAATCACATGAACAATATGACATTCTCAATTTTTGGAATTTCCCAAAAGGTCTTAAGTTAAATGTGAAGATAGGAACATTTTCTCCAAGTGCTCCAGAGGGCAAGAAGTTGTCCTTATCATCTCACATGATACAGTGGGCCACAGGATTAACAGAGGTGAGTTTCTGTAATGTGATTCTTGCTGTCAGCCTGGTCTCTGTGCCTCATCAAGCCCAAATAACACACAGAGAATCTGCTAGTTCCAATGCTATCGGCCAATGTCCATCCTTGCCATTGACTAGTTCTGTCTTAAGTATTAGCCCATGATTAAAAATTTATATTTCTGTAAGGGCTTATCTTTACTTCCCCCATCAGGTTTCATCTCATTTAAATATTTTGCCCTCCATGTAAATTTGAAACTTACATTTCTGCTTATCATACCTCTTCATAGCTCACAGAAACCATAAAAACCTGAATATTTGTTACCATTCCTTTCATTCTTCTCAGATTCCTCAGTCTGTATGCAGTGTGAGTTGCGATCCTGGATTCAGGAAATCCCATCAAGAGGGAAAAGTTGCCTGTTGCTTTGACTGTACACCTTGCCCAGAGAATGAGATTTCCAATGAGACAGGTAAATATCAGTCATGCAGAAAACATCCATACTTGCCACATCTGCAAAATCTAAGAAAATGAAAAAAAAATGCTAAATGTACTATATAGTCAGTTTACCTCAGTGAAGACAACCCTCTTCATTCTACCTGTTTGAAAACTATAGGCTACAGTTCACTTTCCCACTGAAACAACATACTCTTGACACTGAAATTCATACCTGTTTTGTTTTTCTGAGTCACTGGGGATATGGATAGCTACAGGAGCCTGCTTTTTCTGTGCCAGAGACGTATGGATCATTTCATCATGATGTTTGACTTAGTGTCTTTTCTATTGGTATGAAAAGGCACCATGACCAAGCAATTTATTAAAAAGGACATTTAAATGGATGTAGAGATTCAGATGTTTAGAGTCTCTGGAGGCAGAGCAAAGCCATGTATAGTGGTTTCAATGAATCAAATTCGTCCACATTTGTCCAAACTAATTAGATGATCAGATCTTTCATTACGTAGCCTATTCCCTGATGCCAACTTTCATTTCTTATCTATTACAAGAAACCATGATCAATGGAACTTATGAAATAAAGCACTTAACATCGAGCTTATGGTTATGGAACAATAGTACGCAAGTATGAAAAGATGGAAAATCACATCTGATAAGTAATGGATTCCTGGTTATTGGGTTCCTCCACCAATTTAATAAGCAAAATACAGTCAAATTAATAAAGGCAGGTTTAATAAACAGAGCAAAGAAACTCCTGGGTGACGCTCAGAAAAGCAGGAGAGAAAATTACATGGCAGGTTTAGAGACCCTGTCTGGAGACTTAGTCTTAAACAGGCTGTAGGCAGTTGAACAGTTTCAGGGGACAAGGTGTCCATGGTGGGCTTTCTGAGGGGCAGGGTCTGGAATGGTAGAAATGAGGCAGGGCTCTGAGTCAGACTTCTCTGTGGTGCTTGGAATACGTGAGTGTGAGACCAGAGTGGAGAGCACCAGCAACATCTTCTTTCACAAGCACAGGGCATAGAGAGCCCATGGGAAAGTTTTTCATTCTTTTTAACCTCAAAGTCCCCAAAACACACATTTCTAAAAGCCATACTTCACAATCCTTCCCAAAATATTCCACCAAATGGGAACCAACTATACAAACAGATGATTCTGTGGGGGCAATTGTCAGCCTAACCAAGACAGATTTAAACAGTTGCCAATTAAGTACCAACTCTTCATAGTGATCATATTAAGGACCCTTTGGTGACTCTCACTTTTTATATCTCTAAAACCCTGGAGAGCAACTCACATGATTCTGAAAATAGAGTAGGCCAGAAGTGTTGTGTTGCATATCTTAAATAGACTCATAGATGCTACATAGAAAAATACTACATAGAAATAAATGGAAATAAAACAAAAGTCTGATGCATATGAGTGTAATTGAGTCATTATGTGGAATAAGATTAGAAATCCCCCATATATATACATATATATGTATATATACACATATATATATACATACATATATCTTGTCTTGGTAATTTTTATGAATAATAATGTTTTTTATTCCTGGAATATTTTAATTAAAGAATTACCATCTAGAAAAAATCCTCATGGATTAACATTCTTTACCTTTACAATAGTGACTTCCTAAATTTTATTTTGAGTTTTTATACTTAGAATTTTTCCACACTATACATGTACAAAGTTCTAATTCTTTTAGGAAACATGTTGAGGCTAGCAAAAATAGAGCTCCTCCTCATTACCTAGGAAACATAGGACTTAACAGACACTCACTTTATGCTAGGTTCATGTGATCCTTCCCTTGCGCAAAGGAGGATCATTTCCCTCAGCACAGTCAAATCACATATGAGTTCATAGTAATAACTAGACTTCAAGAGGAAATGTAGTCCAAGAATTAGAATAACATGCAAATATTAGACACATAAATAAGTTACTCATTCATATACTGTAGGATAATCTAACCTATACTGTTGCTAGATTTTCTGGTGTCCTGCCTGGTCCCGTAGCTGACTTGCCACAAAGAAGCACACAAAGTCTTATATTAACTATAAACCTATGGGCTTCTTACTGCCTAGATCTATCTTAATTATCAACCCGTTTCTATTAATCTATGTATTTCCATGTGGTCTTGGCTTACGGAGAAGATCTGGACCTTCTAAACCTTTGTCAATTACATGGAGACTGTCTGCCTACTTTTCCCAGAATTCTCCTCGTCTCCTTTCCCCACCTACCTTCCTGTCTCTATTGGCCACAGTGTTTTTTTCATCAACCAATAAAAGAAACATATATACAGAAGGGCATCCCTGTCACTATCCCTTAAATGAAAATGTTTAATCCTATATAAAGTAATTTGAATATCTTGTATATTATATGCCTTTCATTAAAAAGAGATATGAAGAATTTATCATGGGCTACAACATTAACATCAAAATAAATGTTCCAAAAAGAGACGAAAGGGAGTAATAGTAGGAGAGAGACATGAAAATAATGACAGGGCTTGAGAGACAGCCCCAAATTTAAGAGCACTGGCTGTTCTTCCAAGGAATCAAGGTTCATGTCCTAGCACCCATATGGTAGGCATGGGGGTAGAGAACATCTGACAGGAGTTGGAGAAGGAAAAATTATACTCTGAATATATTTCATTGGGAATATCAATGGTAATGTGATTGTATAAATAAAATTAATTATATTTTTAATATAAAAAGGTATATAGAATTATGGACATCATTAATATATCAAAAATATGACATGAACATTCATATGTATTTATCAAAATCTAACAGCAAATTGATAAGCTATCAAGAACAGAGTGTTCAGTGTTCCTTGAAGACTTTAGAATATATGAGCAGTTCTGTATCTATTCATTTTATAGATATTAGTACACAGAGCTATGAGAACAGTGTCAGTGATGAAATGTTTCAAGGCTCCAAGAATTTAACAATACTAATTCATTGAGGCTCCTTCAGGGAATGAGAAAATAAGGAACACCAGGGACTTCAACAATGTAGGTGCGTTTGGAATATATGTGAGAGAACATGATTTGAAGACAAGGATAAAGGCTATTCTGTCAATTATACTGAAATCCTAGCCCTCTTAATTATGGAGATATATTGATGGAAAGGCAATGTAAGCATCAAATTAGGTCTAATGGCTCATAAAACAGATACAACAGTATCACCAAAGGTGAGGAGAACATATGAGTAGCAAGAGAGGAATAATCGAGGCCATTTTCTTTCTGTCATCATGAAGTAGAAGTCAAATTGAGAGTTTCACTATTTTCTATAGAAAATCTTTCAATATTTGTATCTGGAACAAAGCAAATTGTTCAGATAACATTCCAATATTCTAGAGCTGGGAGATAGCTTAGGATAAAAAGAAAAACCTTCATAACTACTCAGGATCACCTGCTCATCTGTATTTCTACCAGATGTGGATCAGTGTGTGACGTGTCCAGAAACTCACTATCCAAACACAGAGAAGAACTACTGCTTTCAGAAAAAGGTAATATTCCTGGCCTATGATGATCTCCTGGGCAAGATACTCAGCTGCGTCTCCCTGGGCTTAGCCTCACTCACAGTTGTTGTTCTCTGGGTGTTTCTGAAGCACCGAGACACTCCCATTGTCAAGGCCAATAACAGGGCTCTCAGTTACACCCTGCTCATCACTCTGACCCTGTGTTTTCTCTGTCCCTTGCTTTTCATTGGCCGCCCTAGCACAGTTACCTGTATCCTACAGCAGAACACATTTGGGCTTCTGTTCACTGTGGTTCTTTCCACCGTGCTGGCCAAAACTCTCACTGTACTTATAGCCTTCAAGATCACCACTCCAGGGAGAATGAGGAGGTGGCTGCTGATATCCAGGGCCCCTAATTTTATCATTCCCATCTGTACCCTGCTGCAAGTTGTTCTTTGTGCAATTTGGCTGGCAACCTCTCCTCCATTTACTGACAAAGATGCTCATTCAGAACATGGACACATCATCATCATTTGCAACAAAGGCTCAGCTCTTGTCTTCTACTGCATCCTGGGATTCCTGGGCACACTGGCTCTAGGAAGCTACCTTATGGCATTCTTATCCAGGAATCTGCCTGATGCATTCAATGAAGCCAAGTTCCTGGCTTTCAGCATGCTTGTGTTCTGTAGTGTCTGGGTCAGCTTCCTCCCTGTCTATCACAGCACTAAAGGGAAGGTCATGGTGGCTATGGAAGTCCTCTCTATCCTGGCTTCGTGTACATCACTATTAGGCATCATCTTTGCCCCGAAGTGCTACATCATACTCTTACGGCCAGAAAGGAACTCACTACATCACATCAGGGACAAAACTTAGGCTAGGAGGAAAAACCTTAAACCTACCTCCTTTGTTTCTTAAGTTAAAGAGCTTTGAATGATGCTTGTGCTTCCCATCTGAACACTCACATATGAAGGTATAATGTGGCATTTGATCCTATATACTGCTATTTGATTAAGTTACCATATTAGGCTACCATAAATCCATATCCATTATTTTTTTCATGTTGAAATATGTGCTGCATTTGACTCTTCCTCTTTCATTCACTATTACTTTTATGTTTTGATTTCATTTGTTATGGAAATGAAAACAAATTTGTAATTTCCTCCACATGAATAATTCCCATATTTTATCAATTTGACAACTGGATTTCAAAAAATATTTATTTGGTCTATCAACTCTGGGTATAGACAAACAGATTTTTGTCATCAATTAAAACATTCTTAAACATTTTGTGAATTTTATATTCAATACAGCAAAACTGTGTAAATATAGACCTGTGTTTCTGAAGCCCTTAAGATAATACACCAATTGATCATGGTTTCTTATAGTATATGATTTTATTCTGAAGAAATTCAAATTCTTTACATTCCATGTAACTTTTCATGATTATAGTACACAAGGTTTCTGCATACTAAACTATTGCTATCCATAATGAATTCCCCAACTGTTACCCAACAATGAATAAAATTTTGCTTAACCCATATCCTTACTATACTTAGTTATTAACTGTTTCCTAATAGATAGTCATTCTGACAGGACAGGAGTGAGACAGAATTTATAATCCATCTATTATAAGTTCTTTGTCTACTATGATCATTTGATTATTATGGTTATTCAGTGTAACTTGTGAACATGGATATTAAATGATCCATATTGATTCTTTTCTATCAAGATGACTTAGGGTATTAGGAGTCTTTTGTGCTTACAAATGAGTTACAAGTCCATTTTTTCTGTAAAAATAGCGCTACAGTTATCATTGAGCTACAGAGTGGTGATAATTTGTGCTCTAACAAATAAAGATTGCAGAAGATCAGAGTGCAGAGATAACCACACTAGTTAGACATAGAGTTCAGGGAGTAGTGACACACACCTTTAATCCCAGCACACAGAAGACAGTCAGGCAGATCTTCATGAGTTGAAGGCCGCCCTGGGCTAAAGATTGAGTCAGTCTGAAAGAGAAGAAGAGCTCACATTTTGATCCCAGCACTTGAGATCACATGCCCTTAATCTGGGCAGTAGGGAGGTGGATACCAGAGGGATATGGCTGGCCAAATAGATGACTATAAAGCAGGAGGAGACAGGAGTTCAGGATTTAGTCTGAGGTTTCACAGAGAAAGCATTCCGTCTGAGGATTGGTAGAGACATGATCTTCCTTTCAGTCTGAGGTAGAGGTAAGAACTAATGGCTGACTGGTCTGTTTTTAGGACATTTCAGTTTTTACCCTTGATAGTTGATTCAAGATTATTAAATCCAATTGGAATTTGAACAACACTGCAGGATACATGTTTTCCTTTAGAAAGTATGTTCATTTTCACAATATTCATGTTTCTCACCAATGAGGATTGGAGGTAGTTCCCTCTTCTAATGTCTTTTAATTTATTATGCCAGTGTTTTAAATCATTAGTGTAGAAAATTGAAGTGCCTTTGATGAACTTTATTCAAATGTAATTTTGAAATGTATAGACTAAGAGATTTCTTTCCTTATTTCTGACTCAGTGTGCTTTTCACTCTTATAGAGGAAGGCTTTTGACTTTTTATATAAAAATTGTAACCTTCTACTACCTGAAACTGTTTATCAGCTCTAGTAATTGTTAGATGAAATCTTCTAAATATCTTAAGTATTTAATTATATCAACTGCAAAGATGAATATTCTGACTTTCTCTTATTTGCATTTGTATTTGTGCTTTACTTGCTTTGGCTACTTGTGGTTGGCGACATTGTCTTTGTTCTGATCTTCTTAGGAATATTTACCTCCATTTAGCATGAAGTTTCACTAGAGGTCTATATATATAGCCTTTATTATGTTGAGGTATATGTTGTTAAAAGATGTTTTACAGTCATTATTTACCTATATTTATCATGAAAAGAAATCTGTAGTTTTCTTTTTATTATGTATTTTTCTGGTTTTGAAACAAGTGTGATATTAGCTTTCTAGAATATTTTATTGAATAATTTGAGAATAATTGGTTTTTATCTTTTTTAAAGATCTGGTACAGGAGCTAGTGAGAGGGCGTAGTAATTAAGAGACTTCGTAGATAGGATTCCCTTTCTACACACACATTGTGAATCACAACTATCTACAAAACAGCCAGTTCCACAGCATCCATCATCCTTTTTTGCTGTTTAGGTATTTATGTGTACCAGACTTGCAAGTTGTATAAGACAAATGCAAGACTAACACATGTATATAGGCACTAAAACTGATTTTAAAAATAAAATAAACATCTGGAAAAAAACTAGGATGGATACATTAGCCTATGTTTTGTTGTCTATTTTCTTGTTAGTTTTCTTTTGAGTGTGTTTCTGTGCACCACTGGCATGTATTGGCTATAGACATCAGAAGATGGTTTTGGATTTACTTGGAACTGGAGTTACAGATGATTGTTAACTATTATGAGAACACTGGCAATCAAAGAAGATTTTCTGGGAGATCACACAGTGCTATTGACTGTTGTCCATCTCTCCAACACCAGAAATATTTTATTACTGTTTCAGTCTCATTGCTTGCCATGCACCTTCTCAATCATGTATATCTTGTTCATTTGAGAAATTATTCCATTTATTTTTATATTTTCTGAATTAGTACAATACATATTTTTAAGGTATGTTCTTTGGAATTTCTAGATTTCATGGTGTTTGTATTGATTGCCCTCTCACTTTTCACCACTATTCTCAATAGTTAGCATCTACTGGCATTTTCTTTTGGTTAATTTGGTTAGAGTTTTGCCAGTCTCATCTAATTCTCTAAATAATCTTTTCTTTACATGACCTACTCATTGCATCATTATTTCTTATAGTAGTATTTTTGTTCATTTATTTTATGCCCTGAAATTATTCTTTTCCTATACTTCTTTGCTCACACTTCTACAATGTTATAAGATACATTATTAAGTTACTTATTTGAAATCTCCATTGCTATTTAACTTAGGCATTTGGAATTGTAAATGTACCACTTAGAATGGGCTCAATTATATTCCATAGGTTTTGACATAGATAATTCATTGACATCCAATTAAATGACTTTTCAATTCTATCTTAACTTTTTCTCTGATCTACGAGCAGATGGGGGGAAGGGGAGTGGTGGGAGTGGGAAGGGAGGAGAGAGGCAGAACTGGGATTGGAATGTAAAAAATAAGGAAAAAAGTGAATGACAATTCTGAAAGATGCAAGTGCAAAAAATAGTCACAAACTTTCTGTTCATAGTAATAAAAGCCTAAGACAGGATCCCTTCCTTTGGGGCTCAAGGAATCCTATGGATGAGGGTTTGGAAGAATTGTAAGAGACAGGATTTGAGGACATCAGAAGAACATGACCCACAGCCATCAAATACATAGGGGCTCAATCACTGAGTCTGTGTGGGTCCATTCAAGATCTTCTGCATATATGTTATGGTTGATAGTCTCATGTTTTTGTTGGATTCCAAAGGTGGGAGATAGGATATCGCTGAATCTTTTGTCTGCTCTTGTAGCCCAATTACCACATCAATTTCCTCAAACAGCATTACTATAAGGCTGTTTGTTAAGTCTTACTGTATCATTTTGTGCTATGTTCAATATATGTACCTAGGAGTCTTCCTCTTTTCTAAAGTGAAACAGGAGTAGTGGATCTGGAGGAGTGTACAGGGAGAATACTGTGAGAACTTGGGGGACGGGGGATATTAGATGGAAGGGAGCTATGATCAGGAAATTTTGATATATAAACAAATTTTAAAAAATTAAAACAAGAAAACTCTATTAACAGAATGAATGGGAAAGCAGGCTCTATCCTTCTGATGCATTGAAGAAACATACCTCAACATCAGTTATAGACATTGCCTCAGGTAAAGTGTTCAGAAAATATATTCCAAGCAAGTGGACCCAAGAAGGGAGCTTGTATAGCTCTTTTAATATCTGACAAATAGACTTCAAACCAAAATTAATCAAATAGACAGGGAACTACCTACTTATGATAAACAAGATCGACCAAGATAATATTACAATTCATAATATCTATGACCCTACATTCTTATGTGTACTTCATTGTACTTTCTCCAAGAATGTGGATTACCAAGAATGCAAGACCTATTTGTTTGAGAATGACTCTCACTATTTCCTCTAATAATGTTGCCTAGTAGTACCATGTCTGCTACTGTTGCCTACATTACCTCTTATAACCACCTAGCCAGCCACACGTCATAAGACCTAGCCATTGGACAATAGTACAGAGTGGAAATACTTTTCTGCTCTAGAATAGAGAAGTGTTCAAGATAGTCTCAAAGCTATTCATGTGAGTGGATGAATGACTGTGATACAACATATGTTGGGCAATATCTAACTAAAAAGCAATTGATTAATCATGAATTTAGGAAAGACACACACATACAGAGAGAGAGAGAGAGAGAGAGAGAGAGAGAGAGAGAGAGAGAGAGAGAGAGAGAGAGAGAGTGGAATGTTAAAGGGTAATAGGAGCTATTCAAAGGAGTACAGGAGAGTCCAAAAATTATGTAGTCCTATTTTAATTTCAAATCCATAAAAGTAAAAGAAAAATGATCCATAAAAGAAATAAGTAATTAAAAAGTTAACCCTAATCTAGAAAGCAACTATTAAACAAAGCTGATTGCTCATATACAAGAGCATGCACTCCAGGCCTTTTCTCTCAAAAAAGATAAAAAATGTTAAATCACATGGGTTTGGAAGGAACAGTAAAGGACAAAGGTAGACATTCCTGAAAAACTGTGTAGACTTTGATAATTTAGGTTATGTTCAATTTAAAAATACTCCTGATATACAAGTGACAGAATAAGAGCTGAAACTGGATTTTAAATACCAACATACTT